GTTATCCCAAAAGCCCCCTAAAAACCGGAAAAAATCCGAAGCCTCCTCTCCACCCCTGGTCGCATCCACCCCTAGCAATTCCCAAAGCAGCAGCAAGACGGACGCCGACGTCCGATCCCACCGCCGATCCCACCGCCAACGACCTTCGGCTAAAATCAGAGAAGGTCACAATGGCCTTAATGAACTTTCTCACGGACCAGGACAATGGTCTATACCCCGAGGCTTCGCAGTTCATCGCTAGCAAACTCGCGAAACTGCAGAGCATCATCGGCGAGTCACTGCTTCGCTGCAGTAACCTCGAGGGCCAGATCAAAGCCATAAGATCTTAGAATAAAATGCAGCGAAGAACCCTCGAAACAGTCATGGAAAAGTTCCAAACCCCAAAAGAACCCCCCCCCCCCCCCCAGCGCGATTACGATCCTCCCGCAGGACCCCAAGATCTTTGAATCTAGTAACAAGACCAAAGAAGCAGTCCTTAAACTGGTTTCTCCATCCGAAAATAAACTCCAGATAAAAAGTATTAGAAGGATCCAGGGTAACGGCATCCTGGTCGAGTCTTCGAAAAACTCCGACCTTACAACCCTTCAAGGCAACGCGCAACTGAAAGCTGCCGGCCTGATTGTCGGAGCCCCCTCAAAAAGAACCCCAGAATCATCTTTTACGATGTTCCCAAACTAGAGAATGACGAGTCCACCCTCTGTGCAATCCTCAACCAGAACCTCGACGGCCCGGAAAAATCCGTATCCGAGCAAATAAAACTCACCTTCAAATCCGGCGACAGAAGCAAAGACAAATGCAACTGGATACTCGAAGTATCCAAACAGGCCCGCGACATCCTCATAAAAATAGAGCGAGTGTACGTCGGATGGAGTTGCTACAGCTTCGGCCACACCACAAAGTACTGTCGCGCAGAAAAAGACATTTGTGGCCATTGCGCCGAGCAAGGCCACCCACAGCGACTGCCCAGCCTATATCGCGGCAATAAACCAAGTGCTAGCTCGCACTGACTATGGTTTGTAAGCCCAACCATCCCCAAACCAAACCCACCATCAAAATAGGCCAAGTCAACGCCCAGAACTCCAGATCGGCTCTACAGGAACTAAAAATCTGCGCCTTCGAGGAAAAGATAGACATCCTCGCAATCCAGGAACCCTATTCGTTTCGTAATGCCCTTAGTAGTTTCGGCCCAAACTCTAAAATAATCACCGACCGCAAGAAGTTCTCCAACCTCTCAGCCCCTGACCACGTCAAAGCGGCGATAGTAATCCGCAACCCCCTGTTAACCGTCCTCAAAATAAAGAAGCTATACAATACCTATTGCATATGCGCCGAAACCACCCACCATGATCTAAAACTTGTTACCGTCAACATGTACTTCCAGTACAGTGACAACATCCAGCCATACCTCCACCATCTCAAAACCATTCTCCAAACCATTAAAAACCGCAACATCCTAATAACTATAGACAGCAACGCCAAATCGCCGTTTTGGCACAATCAACAATCAGACGAAAGGGGCGAGATAATGGAGGACTTCATTACCCAATCCCGACTACTGATTGCCAACGAACCCACGAACACCCACACCTTCAATAACGCCCACAGTCAATCCAACATCGACCTAACCCTCACCACCAACAGCCTCTATAACCACATTTCATCATGGTCGGTCCACCCTGACAGAATGACCAGCGACCACGATCTTATTACCTTTAACGTCACAACCCCCAAGCCATCACTACCAACCCCTCCCAATGCCGCTTCAATATTAAGAGAGCCAACTGGGAAAAATTCGAAAGAATTATCCCAACTCTCAGAACGAAATACCTCCCTCTTTCAGATGACCCCTACACAATCGACCCTAAAACCCTCAGTGCGGACATTCACGAAATCAACATTTCAACCTCCAACTCCGGGATCCCCAAGAAAACTAGATTTGCGCGATCTATCCCATGGTGGACCACTCAACTTACAACCCTCAGAAACGAGGTCCGTCACCTAAAAAAAGCTTACCAAACCGAATCCAACTTCGACCTTAAAACAACCCTGAAAGCCCAGTACAGGCAACTCAGGCATAAATATACCGCCACCATCCGCAAGTCCAAACTCTAAAGCTAGAGAAACTTCGTAACAAAACAAGGAAACGCCAACCCTTGGGGCATTCTATATAAAACTATTTCCGGAAAAATCCGCGCTGAGGATATCCCGGTTACAATCACCACTGCCAACGGACACACCACCTCCTGGGAAGAAACGAGTAGGGCCCTCCTCCACGCGCTAATACCCGACGACACCCCCCTGACGGACACCGCTTTCCACACGGAAATCCGTCAAAACGAGAACACCATCCCGGACACCCCAAACATCCTCTTCTTCGAGATGGAAGAAGTGCAGCGCGAAATCAACCACCTCAAAAACAATAAAGCCCCTGGCCAGGTCCTAATGAGGCCGCCATTCTCAAACAGGCCTGGCACCTCCTAAACCGCGACATCTCCCTCCTCTTCAATAGCTGCCTTGCTCACGGCAAATTTCCTAGCATCTGGAAGACAGAAGACGTTAGAGTCCTTCTAAAGAGCGTGGAGAAGCCCAGAACCGACCCGAAATCTTACAGGCCATACTGCCTCCTCCCCGTCGTTAGCAAGACCCTCGAGAGACTCGTCGCCGAGAGACTCTCCAACATTTTCAACAGACACTCCCTAGCCTCCACATCCCAATTTGGTTTTAAAACCGGGCTCTCCACCGAACACGCCATCCTCCAGTTACGTGAATCTACCCAAAATAAGGGCGAAAAATACGCCATAGCCCTTCTTTTCAACATTAGCGGCCCGCTATCCTCCAGCAGCTAAAAGCAAGAAACTGTCCCAGCAATCTCTATAGGCTTATTCAAGACTACCTGTCTGACAGATCCGTCAAAATTATCAGCAACAATTCAGTATCCTCCAAGGCAGACTCCAAAGCCTGTCCACAAGGATCAGTCCTAGGTCCTTACCTATGGAACGTCGTCTTCGACGACCTCCTAGATGCCATACACCGCTGCAGCTACAATGCAACAGCCTACGCGGACGACCTCGCGGTCACCGTCTCCGGCAACAGCAGAAAGGAAATCGAGCACAGGTCCTCCATTATCACCAACATCATATCTGCATCCCACCATTAGAATAGACAACTGCCCACTTAAGATGCCGGCATCTGTCCGGTATCTTGGTGTATACTTCGTCCCCCGTTTCAATATAACCCCGCACATTAACCACGTCGCCAGTAAAAGCAAATCCGTTTTCAACCAGCACTCTCGCATCGCTAAGACCCACTGGGGCCTTAACCACAACAGCGTGAGAACCATTTACAACGGTCTGTATGTCCCGATAGTATCATACGTAGCTGCCAGTTGGGCCAACAAGCTCAACAAATGGCACATTAGAAAACTTAGGTAATCCCAAAGATACGTCCTCTTACGCACCACCCGCGCTTACCGCACCACACTGCTCGATGCCCTTACCATCATTGCCGGAGCTCCCACAATTGACTTACTTCTCAGAGCGGCAAAAATCGGATGCCGCGCGACAGTTCGGTCAGTTCGGTCAGATAAGTGCGGCCAAGTAGAATCTTGGTTAAGTTATAAGTTCGTTAAGTAAGCACGAGTGGACGCGTATCCCTCGGTCGTATATATTGTTGTGGCCAAGTGGCCAGGGTTTATGGCAGGGGTCATGTGCTTGGGTACCCCGACGGTATGGATCTGTCTTTGGCCGTTCCCGGGCACGTGCGGCCCCGTCATAACGTCTCCTGGTCCTTGATTACTATCCAGTCAATTACGGTTGGGTCTGGCACTGTTTGGGCACGTAGGCCCATCAGCGCGGGTTGTTTAGCAGGTGTTAGTTTGCCATTCTCCCTGTTAATTCCCGACCCACCGTTTTGGATCAGTCTCACTGTTTCTGTAACTGCAGTGATTGGACCGTAATACCTTGCCGCCCACCCTAGGTCAAGAAGAGTAGGGAGGACCGAGGTAATATTAGGGATGAACCCGGTCCTCTAGCAGAGAGGAGAAGAACACCGTCAGAGACACGGTTCGGAATNGGGTTAGGCATGACCCCGTAGCAGAGAGGAGAAGAACACCGTCAGAGACACGGTTCGGAATACAAGAGACATTCGTGAGACCACAAGGGACTCAGGAGATACACGAGAGTCAGGAGAGACCTCTAGAGACATCGTGAGAGATACTTGAGACCATAAGGGACTCACGAGATACATGAAAGACTTAGTAATTAGACGGCAAACCACGTGCAAAATTCTACAGAGCTCGAAGCTCACAAGGAGCACCAACGAGCATTAACATATATAATTGAGGAATACGAGGTTGCTTGTCAGTGGGAGTCACTTTTCCGTATCCGGGACATTTAGTATACACAACCCCCTCTGTTACGGCCGAATCGCGGACAGCGGGTCAACGCACGTTCGACTTTCGATGTACACCGTCTCGCCGTTTTTGTCGAATAAACGGCGAGGCGGGAAGACAATAACACGATCGACGTGCGTTGGCCCGACCGTCAAACGCTCGCCTCGGCCGAAATGTATACGCGGTGTTTTTGTCTTGGGAGGCAATGACCGGCCTTCGACACCTGACGATGCTTCTCCTTGAACATCGGCCAGGTGTCTATATATACTGCCGCAAATTTGATAACGGCGGATTTTGGTAGCCAACGTCATTGCATACAGACACGTATTATTCTGCGCCCTTGCGCCAATTCGTAGCCGTGCTACACTTGATACGTCGAACGGAGCCGTGCTCCAAGGATTGTAAACCGAAGGACTGTGTAGTCCAAACCAATAAATCGTGTCGTCTCCTCATGACTTCCGGCGGTTAATTTTGTGCCGTGCGCAACACCCTCAATTAATTGGTAACCCCGACGTGATCGGGATACGAAACGAAGTTCATCGAACCACGCGGTACTGCCAAATTTAGAAGGATGACCACAGGAAATGACACCACGCCAGGCCCCTCTAACGAGGGAGGAGCAACGATAGGACGGGTAGCTGTCCGCATTCCCGAATTTTGCGCCTCGAACCCAGCACTGTGGTTCAGCACGGTTGAACGCAGTTTCGAAGCATCAGGGGTGACTGCAGAATACACGATGTCCGGATACGTATTGGGCGCACTAAACCCGGTGTATGCGGCGGAGGTCCGGGACGTGATTATGAACCCGCCGGTTTCTGGACAGTACCAGAGATTAAAGACAGAGCTGATTCAACGGCTCAGCTCAACGCAGGAGCTGAAGACCCGACGTTTACTCGAGTCAGAAGAGATCGGCGATCGAAAGCCGTCGCAGTATCTGCGGCATCTGAAAAGACTAGCGGGAACCGCAGTCTCCGATAGCGTTCAGCGCACACTCTGGATGGGAAGATTACCCACAAATATGCAGGTCATTTTGGCCACCCAGAAGGACGCGGAACTGGACAAGGTGGCCGACCTGGCCGATGCGATCACCCGCGGTCGTTGATCCGGGGTTGCCCCGAACGATCACAGTATGTACTGTTCGCGGCTAACGGATCCGAGATAGCGACCTACGGTGCGGTCACGTTGACGTTGGATTTGGGGCTACGTCGGGCGTTCACGTGGCGTTTCGTAGTTGCCGAGGTGTCGAAACCCATAATTGGTGTCGATTTCCTATACCACTATGGGCTACTCGTCGACATACGAAACCGACGTTTGTCGGACAACCTGACGTCATTGTCAGTGCCAGGACAACTCGCGAATGGAAGTGACTGCGTAGAACCGAGCGTGAAGACGGTCACAGGCACTTCCATCTACGTGGACTTGCTGCAACGTTTTCATTACATCCGGATGACATCGGGCCAGCCAGTGAGTTGTCGACCACAGCATCTCGCACCAGAACGTTTTCGAGCCGCCAAGGAGTTCGAAAAAATGANTGCTCCAAGGATTGTAAACCGAAGGACTGTGTAGTCCAAACCAATAAATCGTGTCGTCTCCTCATGACTTCCGGCGGTTAATTTTGTGCCGTGCGCAACACCCTCAATTAATTGGTAACCCCGACGTGATCGGGATACGAAACGAAGTTCATCGAACCACGCGGTACTGCCAAATTTAGAAGGATGACCACAGGAAATGACACCACGCCAGGCCCCTCTAACGAGGGAGGAGCAACGATAGGACGGGTAGCTGTCCGCATTCCCGAATTTTGCGCCTCGAACCCAGCACTGTGGTTCAGCACGGTTGAACGCAGTTTCGAAGCATCAGGGGTGACTGCAGAATACACGATGTCCGGATACGTATTGGGCGCACTAAACCCGGTGTATGCGGCGGAGGTCCGGGACGTGATTATGAACCCGCCGGTTTCTGGACAGTACCAGAGATTAAAGACAGAGCTGATTCAACGGCTCAGCTCAACGCAGGAGCTGAAGACCCGACGTTTACTCGAGTCAGAAGAGATCGGCGATCGAAAGCCGTCGCAGTATCTGCGGCATCTGAAAAGACTAGCGGGAACCGCAGTCTCCGATAGCGTTCAGCGCACACTCTGGATGGGAAGATTACCCACAAATATGCAGGTCATTTTGGCCACCCAGAAGGACGCGGAACTGGACAAGGTGGCCGACCTGGCCGATGCGATCACCCGCGGTCGTTGATCCGGGGTTGCCCCGAACGATCACAGTATGTACTGTTCGCGGCTAACGGATCCGAGATAGCGACCTACGGTGCGGTCACGTTGACGTTGGATTTGGGGCTACGTCGGGCGTTCACGTGGCGTTTCGTAGTTGCCGAGGTGTCGAAACCCATAATTGGTGTCGATTTCCTATACCACTATGGGCTACTCGTCGACATACGAAACCGACGTTTGTCGGACAACCTGACGTCATTGTCAGTGCCAGGACAACTCGCGAATGGAAGTGACTGCGTAGAACCGAGCGTGAAGACGGTCACAGGCACTTCCATCTACGTGGACTTGCTGCAACGTTTTCATTACATCCGGATGACATCGGGCCAGCCAGTGAGTTGTCGACCACAGCATCTCGCACCAGAACGTTTTCGAGCCGCCAAGGAGTTCGAAAAAATGATCCAGCTAGGAGTTGCGAGGCCGTCCGAGAGCAGCTGGACGTGCGGAGGGGGCCGGCCCTCTCCGTCAAAATACGGTAGACAGGCTTGACGTCACGTAACGCCGGTGACAACACGCGACCGACTCGCCCAGTTTTTGCTGGCCCGTTTTTACCGGAGCACAGTTTTTTATCGGGCTTCTTTTAGAACCTTTTTCTTTTCTTTTTCTTTCCGTTACTTTAGTTTTAGTTTTATTTTTAGTTTAATTCTAACGCCAGCTTATCGGTCGATAACCGATAGGTTTGAAATTTAATTTTAATTTAAATTTTAAATTAAGTAAGTAAGTGCAGTTTTGTGAGTGACACGGCTACAACGAACTACCAAGTTCCTCATTCGGATTACCATTGGGAACTTTACACGGCTGCATACTGCTAATATAACGCTGACACCTTGCTAAAGGTAAACCCTGCTGCAAGCTAATTTAATTTAATTTATTTTATCTCATTGTATAACATTGTACTGCGATGGCTAGCACGGTCAATTCGCAGAGAATCCGATTGGGGGGTCTTAACGTCCTCCAGATCAACTTGCATAGGTGTCGACTGGCTCACGACTTGCTCCAGCAGGCCGTGCACGAGCTCGAGGTCGACGTTGTTCTCGTGTCGGAGCCCTGGACCGTTCCAGGTGACTGGCACAGGGACGAAACCGGAAAGGCGGCCGTCTGGGTCACGGGGAGGGGCGCTGCGGGGGCGGGAGCTAGGCCTGTTGGTGCCGTTCGGGGGGCGGTTGCGGTCGGCGTGGGTGATCTCACCCTCGTTGGCTGCTATTTCTCCCCGAATATCCCGCTCACCGAATTCGGTGCACTTCTCGGTGATCTTGAGGCCCTAATTGGAAAAGTTCCTTTGGGCCAGATTGCAGTGGGCGGGGACTTCAACGCGAAGTCCCCGGCCTGGGGATCGGTCTGCTCCGATGCAAGGGGGCACGCCGTCCTCGAGCTCATTAATAGGGTTGGCCTCGTCCCGGTTAGGAGTACCGGGGCGTTTACGTTCGAGAGGGGGAGCCAGCGCTCCCTCATCGATTTTATGTTTTGTGGCGGAGGCGCCTATGCAAGGTTGAGGGAGAGCAGTATTCTCGACGTTGAGACTGCCTCCGATCATCGGTACATCCTACATAAATTTGTAGAGTGCGCTGCCGGGCGGGGACCGTACAATGGCCCTCCGCGCCGGAGCGTTGACATTAAAAGTTTTTTGAAATTATATACCAAGATTGCGCATGAAGCTAACCCTCTCAGTATTGTTACTGTTGAGGACGTGGACGCGTACATAGACATGATCGTCGAACTGGCCGGACGCTCGTCTCGCACTCTCCACCCCGGGCTGCGCAACAAGCGCCCCGTGTGGTGGTGGAGTAGCGAGATCGCGACGGCCAGGAAAACTGTTTGCAAGGCCAGACGCAACCTCCAGAGGGCCAGGCGCGGCCGGGACGCCTGCGTCCTTGAAGTAAGGAGCGCGGCGTATAAAGCTTTAAAAAAGGACTTGGCCCGCACAATTGCGAAAGCCAAGTCCTCAGCGTGGAGAGCCTTCACCGATAAGGTGGAGGCGGATGTTTGGGGCCGGCCATACCTCTGGGTCAGGGGTAGGGTCAAGGGACGCTCCCCGCCAGCATCCCTTAGCGCCGACGAGGTTGCGGGCGTCGTCCGCAAACTTTTTGTAACGGAACCTCCTGGTGGGGCTCCGTTCCCTCGAATTGAGGATTTTCGTTTAGAGTGCCCTGCCTCTTCTAGGCAGTTTTTTACAGAGGACGAGGTCGAGGCGGCCATCAAAAGGGTCAAGAGGAAGGCGGCCGGCGTCGACGGTATCGCGTCCGGCGTGGTCTGGGCTCTTGGGAGAGAGGCACTTAGCCATATTGCCCATCTTTTTAATACATGTCTCATACCTGTCTCTTATACACATCTGGAGGTCGAGGCGGCCATCAAAAGGGTCAAGAGGAAGGCGGCTGGCGTCGACGGGATCACGTCCTGCGTGGTCTGGGCGCTTGGGAGAGAGGCACCTAGCCATATTGCCCATCTTTTTAATACATGTCTCATACCTGTCTCTTATACACATCTGGAGGTCGAGGCGGCCATCAAAAGGGTCAAGAGGAAGGCGGCTGGCGTCGACGGGATCACGTCCTGCGTGGTCTGGGCGCTTGGGAGAGAGGCACCTAGCCATATTGCCCATCTTTTTAATACATGTCTCATACCTGTCTCTTATACACATCTGGAGGTCGAGGCGGCCATCAAAAGGGTCAAGAGGAAGGCGGCTGGCGTCGACGGGATCACGTCCTGCGTGGTCTGGGCGCTTGGGAGAGAGGCACCTAGCCATATTGCCCATCTTTTTAATACATGTCTCATACCTGTCTCTTATACACATCTGGAGGTCGAGGCGGCCATCAAAAGGGTCAAGAGGAAGGCGGCTGGCGTCGACGGGATCACGTCCTGCGTGGTCTGGGCGCTTGGGAGAGAGGCACCTAGCCATATTGCCCATCTTTTTAATACATGTCTCATACCTGTCTCTTATACACATCTGGAGGTCGAGGCGGCCATCAAAAGGGTCAAGAGGAAGGCGGCTGGCGTCGACGGGATCACGTCCTGCGTGGTCTGGGCGCTTGGGAGAGAGGCACCTAGCCATATTGCCCATCTTTTTAATACATGTCTCATACCTGTCTCTTATACACATCTGGAGGTCGAGGCGGCCATCAAAAGGGTCAAGAGGAAGGCGGCTGGCGTCGACGGGATCACGTCCTGCGTGGTCTGGGCGCTTGGGAGAGAGGCACCTAGCCATATTGCCCATCTTTTTAATACATGTCTCATACCTGTCTCTTATACACATCTGGAGGTCGAGGCGGCCATCAAAAGGGTCAAGAGGAAGGCGGCTGGCGTCGACGGGATCACGTCCTGCGTGGTCTGGGCGCTTGGGAGAGAGGCACCTAGCCATATTGCCCATCTTTTTAATACATGTCTCATACCTGTCTCTTATACACATCTGGAGGTCGAGGCGGCCATCAAAAGGGTCAAGAGGAAGGCGGCTGGCGTCGACGGGATCACGTCCTGCGTGGTCTGGGCGCTTGGGAGAGAGGCACCTAGCCATATTGCCCATCTTTTTAATACATGTCTCATACCTGTCTCTTATACACATCTGGAGGTCGAGGCGGCCATCAAAAGGGTCAAGAGGAAGGCGGCTGGCGTCGACGGGATCACGTCCTGCGTGGTCTGGGCGCTTGGGAGAGAGGCACCTAGCCATATTGCCCATCTTTTTAATACATGTCTCATACCTGTCTCTTATACACATCTGGAGGTCGAGGCGGCCATCAAAAGGGTCAAGAGGAAGGCGGCTGGCGTCGACGGGATCACGTCCTGCGTGGTCTGGGCGCTTGGGAGAGAGGCACCTAGCCATATTGCCCATCTTTTTA